CGGACAAATGAAGTTCATACAGCATTTAATGTAGATCATCAACGGGTATAAAAGACACGACTGATGATTGACAAACCTTCAGGAAGAATTTTGAAGTCTTTCCTGAGTAGACCAGCAAAACCCACCGGGAAACAAAAAAGAAGAACGGAGAAAACATATTGAAAACAAAAAGCGAAATGATTTTTTGTTTGGCGTTGAACTGTCCAAGTCTTCGAAGTTGGAAAGATAATCCGTGCGTACGCTGAGACGAAAAAGAAGTTGCGTCTTATGGAGGGACGACCGACTGCATTACACGAGCTTCGAGGTCCTACTGTGGACACCCGGCTGTTTACGAATCCAGTGTAACAGCTCGGTTTCAGCTATCTCACTAAAAACCACATCAATCCCAGCAAGGTCAGAGGCCATAGTTTCTGGGTCCGCAGAAACGCGTAAGGCATACTGCCTTCAATTTTCTGATCTTCCAACCTTTTCATTCAAAACGGCAACCAGAACCGTCGCACGAAATTGCGTGGTTAGTGGTTGTACAAACTGAACTGAACTGCAAAAGGAACTTCGCAGTACAGTTAGATGGGGACGTCAGTCGAATGGTGGAGCTGTAATCTTGAATGCGAGTCTCTTGGGCACGATATACATCGATGGTAAGGGTTTCGATAGTACGAGCCAAACATGCTTGTTGTCCTACATGCATCAAAGTACGCATGTTGAATGCGGCTAGTTTGAAAAGCGTCGATGATGAGGAAGAGCTCCCAGTGGTTTAATATTTGGTTAGATTTGGACGCTAGTCTAGGCATGACGCGAGAAAGTATGGTCAGGACAATTGTCTGAAGACCGCGATGGAAGTGAAAATGTGCGAGGGTATTGAATTTAAAATGGAGTACGGTTAGGGAGGCATGGGGATATGTAAAATGTAGGATGTTTTACAGTAATAGAGAAATGCTTTAAGCACGGATTCTCTGAAGAAGGAACGCTCGTGGTTGTATACGTGTATGGGTATATAGGTTACTTTTTCTGCAACTGGTAACTCTTGGTTAGATTTTCCTTGTTGACTCACTAAAACTTGGTGTGATGCGTGATCTGACTGCAATACGAACAGCAGTTTTGCCTCCATTTATAGCTTACCACAATGAGACATATTTGTATGTTGGCTGGTGAAGATGAAATCGCGATGCAGCACAGTGGTATTTCGAAACTCTCAGGGTATTACTCGAAAGAAATAGCGATCTGAACGAAGATCGAGAAATCTCTTGTTGCCGTGTAATCACAGGTCGCTAAAAATAAACTGGCCTTCTAACTGCTTCCGATACTCGAGTTCCCATCTGTTGCCACATCGAATATCTTCCCTGCTTTGTGTTGAATATCGCACCCATTGACAAACTTAAACTCTATTTGTGTTTTCATTGCAGAATGGTAAAGTGCATGCATACTACGGAGACGTCATCTTTCATTTTCTTAATAGTTTACGTGTACCTTATAGTTTTATTGTGTAATATTGGCTTTTGACTGGATTCCCATTCAGAAGGTTGTGTTCACCCCTTGTCACAGAACACTTCCCATTCCAGTCCGATCAAAATCAGTCGTCCTTAAGTCTCCTAAAAGTTGAGGTGTAATGAAAAACCACTGCTAGTTGAGCAAATCACTTCTGGTGTCTTGAATGCACTCATGGACACAGCAAAGATCCTTATCAACCGCATCTAAGTTCCTTGCTAGACTTGCTTGTTCTGTACATTTTAGAGTATACACATTAAATTTCACTAGTTTGTGGGGACACAGGTCGCCAGTAACTCCCTCGGACAATGATTTAAAGCTGTCAAATATGCTGGTTGACTGCCTGGGACAACAGCAACTTCTTGTGCTGGAGGCAGATGGAACTAAGGATTAAGCATACAACACTGATGTCGACCGACAAGGGAGTCAACACACTAAGTGACATAATGGTTTGAAATTACGCTAGGTATAACTTGTGCCGTGTGTAATAAAGGTAATAAACAAAGCAACAAATCAACCGTAGTGTCGCTTTAGAAGTCACTTCCTCCCCTATTCGACAGTTGAAAGAGGCCTGTGTTGAATTATACTATACTTTATTGACCATGCTTAATTTGCTCTCGCCACAATGAATATAATGACCACATTTAGTAGCAACTTTTGCGTTTAATCACGTGAAATAATCAATATTAGGCAAAGCTTCTATCGTGTTTCGCCCAATTAATTATCTTCAGGTAATTCAAACTCTTAATTATTATCTTTTTCAACACATCTGAATTAGCATACTGAAATGGAGTTTAACTGTTTCACCTTCTTTCCACTTTGTTCTGTATCCCAATCCACCTATTCCCTGTTATTGTTATTATTGTTGTGGCGTTGGCACTGTGCTTGTCTACAAGCCGATATTATATATATATATATATTCACATACTACTTATTATATATATATATATATATATATATATATA